GTCTCTCTGGATGGCGTTGGTGGAGAATTTGTCTTACCCCAGAGGGAGAACCCTCACTGGATGCTTTTGTGGCTCGGTGAGGAGATGAGATAGGATCCCTGATTTCTGGGAATGAGATGGCCCCATCTGGGAGCACAGTGGGATAGCATCCCAGTTCTTCTGGAAGGGTGTGAGCTCACAGACTGCAGGGATGTCCCACCTCCTGTCTCCACAAGGGAGAAGGTGAGGATGGCAGGACTGGCCAGTCTGGAGCCAGAGGTTGTGTTGTTCAACTTACTCCCTGATTGCTGAGAGTCAGGACAAGGGGAAATGGCCTCAAGTTGTGCTGGTGAGGTTCAGGTTGGATATTAGGGGAAATTTCTTTCCCAAGATATGGCACTATCACAGTCTCACCAGGGCAGTGGTGGAGTCCCCATCCCTGGAGGGATTTAAAAGACACATGGATGTGGCACCTGGGGACATGGTCTAATGGTTGCCCTTGGCAGTTAGGTGGACAGTTGGACACCATCACCTTAGAGAGCTTTTCCAATATAACCAACTCCATGATTCTGTGATTGCTCCAAGTTCATCTCAGAAGGTTGGGTTGATGCTGAACTGTGTTTGCTGCCAGCCATCCCTGCAGTCCTGCCTGTGATTGGTGACCTCAGTGACAACCTTGAGCCTTTCCCGAGTACGTTTGTCCCTTCTGAGCAGCACAGGAGGGCTCGAGTTCCCGAGAGGAGAAACCTGGAGGGAGTTAAAGCTGCACTGCCTGGCTGGAGCAGTTGGGGCTTTGCTGTGGGAGGACAGACAATGCATTTGCAGTGCATTAAGGTATTATTGTAACTGCGTGTGTGCTGAGAGGTTTCTGATCCTGCAAAGTAAAGATGAGCAGATTTGTCCCAGATTTATCAATGGAAGCAGAGTTCCCATTGAAACAGGAGGGAGGAAAGGAGGAGGGTGAGATCCTGCTCACAGCCAGGCTGGATTCTGTACACATGGCCTGGCTGCTGATGCTACCAAGGGGAGCTTTGGGGGGAGAAGGACAACCCCAAAACGCTGCTTGAGAGGCATTGGGATTCATCAAGAAGGAAGGAAAAATTCAAGGTGGAAGCAGGATGCCAAGGCAGCCCCATGGCTGGGAGTAACTGAGAGCTGGGGTGAAGCTCCCATGTTTTGTGCAGCCCATGTCCCCCGGGGGAGGGATGCTGGGGGAATTCCCCTCATGGTCTGGGTCTGGCTTTGAGAAAGAGGGAAGTTGTTCATCCCCTCTGCTTGGCCCTGAGAAGGCCATTAAGGGAGGAAAAGAGCAATGCTTGCTCTGCTTCCTCATAGAAACTGCATGTGTTGTTCCAGGGCAGCCTGTGGACCATTGCACAGGGGGATTTCTTAAATGGCCGTTAGGAACAAAATCAAATTTGTTGAGACCAGATGCAGCAGAAGAGATGGATGAAAAAGCAGAAGGAAATTTGCAGAGGGAACACTGGGACATCTCGCATTAGACAGCAGGCCACAGCCTAGGGGAGATGGTTTGGTGCTGCATGAGCTCCCAGTTTATGGGAAAGCTTTGGCCAGGTTGGACGCCAGGGAGATGCCCCTTCCCCTGGGCTTTTATCGCCTTCCCTTGTGCTCAGACCTCCAGGCTTTGAAGCCTGACCTAGAACCACCTCTGTTTCTGCTTGACAAATGCCGGGCTCGTGCAGCTCCTGGATGCAAACCCCTGCAGAGAGGGCGTGTGAGGCTGGCAGGGAGCTCACGGGGGAGGTGATGCTGTTGCTGCATCCCCGATGCTGCCCCAAAGCTCGTCTGGAGAGCCAGGGGAAGGCAGGAGCTGCGGGGAAGGGCTGGGGAGGATCTGCCCCTCGGCTGCTCTCTGCCTGCAGCGCTCCTGCTCGCCTGGCACAGCCTAATTGGCTTTGATAGGATTACAGGGAAGCAGCGGAGGAGTAAACAGGGCCAGGAGGCCACGGCGTGCTGGGGCCGCCAGCTCCGGGAGAAATCCCAGCGCGACACCCGACCAAAGCCACCGGAGCTCAAGGGTTAATGTCTGCTGCTGTGCTGCAGCTGTGGGGTAAGGACTTAATCCTGCTGCTCTTAAAGGAAAGGCTTTTCCAAGCAGCATCCCAAAGGTCTGTGGCTCTCTCGGTAATTCCTGATGGGTTTGCCCCTGACAGATGCACAGTAAATTATTGCAATTATGGAAGTTACACCTTGTGCCTCAAGCCTTGTGTCCTCAATAAATGTTTATGGTTTGAGGCAGCCTCATTTGTTTGCCTTAAACCAGACAACACTGATTTATTGGCAGAAATCCTAGCAGGGAAAAGGGATGAGCCAGACAAGCTACACATATATATGTGGTGAAGGGATGATGGTTATTTCATTTTCATGAAAATAAAGCCTCAGACTTGTGTGTGAACTGTTGCTTACAGGAATTTCCCCCAACCTACAGGCAATAAGGGGAGCTCAAGGGTTAATGGTGCTCCAGGGCTTTGCTTCCTGCCTTGTCTGGGTTTTGGGATGTCTGGGAGATGCTGTGGGTTGGGAGGGAAGAGTGGATGCTGTCACTGGGAGCATGGTGCTGGTTAGCACCACAGACTGCTGCAGGAATGGTGGGGGACCAACTTTCCAACTCCCTTCTCCCAGGAGATCCACACCCTCAAGAAAAACAGGTGTTAAAATTGGGGCTTAAAGCCAAGGATGGAAGTGGAAACAAGGGACTTGTGTCCAAGTCTGGGGTGGGGTGACATGGCCTGGAGGCAACTCTCCTTGTGTGGGGGCATGGGTGAGCATCCACCTTTCCATGCACACCTTGCTGGGACCCATTCCCTCTGGAATTCTCCCGGGTTTCTGGTAGCAGAGGGTGTTTCCCCTCTGTCAGCAAAGAAGTGGGTGGGCTCAGCTCAGCCAGGCTCCATCCTCACTCTTCATCTGCCAGAGTCTGGAGTCGGCTCTTGCACCAATATTTATTGTTGTTCCCTCCCCAGATCTGGGTATTTTGGACAGCTTGTTTCTGGTTTAAAGTATAAATAAGTTTGATCTTTTCATCTGTTGTTCTCCCTACCTTCTGGAGGCTGTGCTGGTTAAAAATAACTGGCATTATGAGCTCAAATGGGGATGGTGGAGGGTTTTTAATCCCCATCACGGCAGGACCACCCATCTGGCTCTGGAAGGGAACATAGGCTCCCTCCTGTCCTCACCCCAGCCTTCATGGTGGAGCTCTTGGTCCAGTACAAGGTGGAATGAGATGGGCTTTAAAATCCCTTTCAACCCAAACCATTCCATTACCTTTTTTCCCAAGGCGGGAGCTCCCTGAATTGCCTAAACCCCCATGGCTGGGGGTGAAAGCATTTCAGCTATTGCAGGGGGTTGGAAAAATGGGAATCGGGGGGAGAGCTGGGAGTGCAGAGATCAGAGGTTGTCCCTGATGCACATCTCCTGGGGATGGGGTGTTTTCCAGCTCTGGGCTCCTGAAGAGGAGGTTTTTGCCTGAAAAAGTCCCTTTTGCTCACAATTGAACTATTTGCTTAAGACCAACTGAAGACAGAAAGAGAGAAAGAAAAAGAAATACAAGGGGTTTGGCTTTCTTGATGGAAAGTCTGAAATGCAGGTTTGGGTTCAGCCTGGAACCTCCTTGGTTGAGGGCTGGCTCAGCTTTGCTTCTGGGTTTATTTTGGTGGGGGAAGCACACGCACACACACACGTGTGCACCCACACTCATGGACACACACACATGCACACGCTCTCCTAGACAGAGAAAAACAATCCCCAGCCTAACCCAGACGCTGATTCAAAACAACTGTTGGGTCTGGCCACGCTGTCGGCTTTCCACTGCCCACAGCCTCCCACCGTGTGAAACCGTAGCTGAAAACCAACAGGCAAACGCCAAAATCAGAGTCAAAATTGCATTCTACCTGGGGAAGGGCAGAAAAACTCTTTCTAGGCAGAGGTTCTGCCAGGAAAAACCCCTCTCCCTGCTTGCAGCCCGCTGAGCAGCAAAGGATGCTCCCGGGAGGAGACTGAAGCCCCTCGGCGCTGCCTGGGGGTGGATGGGGCTCCCCCAAGCAGGGGCAGGGGAGGGGGTACCCGCAGATGGCGGGGGGCTGCGGGGCAGGGCCGGGGGGCTGGTGGGTGTCTCCGGGAGCGGTGACTGAGTGAGGCGGTGCCAGGGCTGGGGGCGGATTTTTTGAGAAGAGCCTCAGCTCTTCAGAGCAGCGGCAGCCGCTGGAGGAGTTGGGCGGCTGTTGCTCCCTCTCCGCCCGGAGGAGGAGGAAGAGGAGGAAGAAGATCTGGGCTCCTGAAGAGGAGGTTTTTGCCTGAAAAAGTCCCTTTTGCTCACAATTGAACTATTTGCTTAAGACCAACTGAAGACAGAAAGAGAGAAAGAAAAAGAAATATAAGGGGTTTGGCTTTCTTGATGGAAAGTCTGAAATGCAGGTTTGGGTTCAGCCTGGAACCTCCTTGGTCGAGGGCTGGCTCAGCTTTGCTTCTGGGTTTATTTTGGTGGGGGAAGCACACGCACACACACACGTGTGCACCCACACTCATGGACACACACACATGCACACGCTCTCCTAGACAGAGAAAAACAATCCCCAGCCTAACCCAGACGCTGATTCAAAACAACTGTTGGGTCTGGCCACGCTGTCGGCTTTCCACTGCCCACAGCCTCCCACCGTGTGAAACCGTAGCTGAAAACCAACAGGCAAACGCCAAAATCAGAGTCAAAATTGCATTCTACCTGGGGAAGGGCAGAAAAACTCTTTCTAGGCAGAGGTTCTGCCAGGAAAAACCCCTCTCCCTGCTTGCAGCCCGCTGAGCAGCAAAGGATGCTCCCGGGAGGAGACTGAAGCCCCTCGGCGCTGCCTGGGGGTGGATGGGGCTCCCCCAAGCAGGGGCAGGGGAGGGGGTACCCGCAGATGGCGGGGGGCTGCGGGGCAGGGCCGGGGGGCTGGTGGGTGTCTCCGGGAGCGGTGACTGAGTGAGGCGGTGCCAGGGCTGGGGGCGGATTTTTTGAGACCTTTATGGACGAGCGCCGGAGCTTGCTCTACTCTCCGGCCGCCTCCTCCGCCGGCCGGCAGCCGCGGGGCGGCTCGACCAGCAGCCACCACAACCTGGGCTACACCGAGCAGCTGCCCCCCGCCGCCCCCCAGCCGGGCCCCGAGCAGCAGGAGGAAGAGGGCGAAGAAGGGGAGGAAGGCAGCATGACCGTGGTGGGAGGCGGCGGTGGCGGAGACCCTTTGCTGGAGGAGCCCCAGCATCCCCCTGCGCTGCTCGGGGGGGACCGCTACGATCAGCCCCCGGCACCGGCCGTGCCCGCCGGGCAGCCCGCGGGCGCTGGGGAGCACGAGTGCTGCGAGCGCGTGGTGATCAACATCTCGGGGCTGCGCTTCGAGACCCAGCTCAAGACCCTGGCACAGTTCCCCGAGACGCTGCTGGGGGACCCCCGCAAGAGGATGCGCTACTTCGACCCCCTCCGCAATGAGTATTTTTTCGACCGTAACCGTCCCAGCTTCGATGCCATCCTCTACTACTACCAGTCGGGCGGGCGCATCCGGCGTCCCGTCAATGTCCCCATCGACATCTTCTCCGAGGAGATCCGCTTCTACCAGCTGGGGGAGGAGGCCATGGAGAAGTTTCGGGAGGACGAGGGTTTCATTCGGGAGGAGCAGCGACCACTTCCCGAGAAGGAGTTTCAGCGCCAGGTGTGGCTCCTCTTTGAGTACCCCGAGAGCTCTGGGCCGGCCCGAGGCATTGCCATTGTCTCTGTCCTGGTCATCCTTATCTCTATTGTCATCTTCTGTCTGGAGACCCTGCCTGAATTCAGGGATGATCATGACTATGAGGGAACTGGGGGGACCTTCGGGACAGGCAGCGGCCCTCTCCCACCTGATGTCTTCACCAACTCCTCATCCTCGCCTGTTTCCATGGTGTCATCCTTCACCGACCCTTTCTTTGTGGTGGAGACTTTGTGCATCATCTGGTTCTCCTTTGAGCTGCTGGTCCGTTTCTTTGCCTGCCCCAGCAAGGCCACCTTCTCCAAGAACATCATGAACATCATTGACATTGTGGCCATCATCCCCTACTTCATCACCCTGGGCACAGAGCTGGCTGAGCGGCAAGGCAATGGCCAGCAAGCCATGTCCTTGGCCATCCTCAGAGTCATCCGCCTCGTCAGGGTCTTCCGCATCTTCAAGCTCTCCCGGCACTCCAAGGGGCTGCAGATCCTGGGGCAGACCCTCAAGGCCAGCATGAGGGAGCTGGGCTTGCTCATCTTCTTCCTCTTCATCGGCGTCATCCTCTTCTCCAGCGCCGTTTACTTCGCGGAAGCCGATGACCCCAGCTCGGGGTTCAGTAGCATCCCCGATGCCTTCTGGTGGGCCGTGGTCACCATGACCACCGTGGGCTACGGGGACATGCACCCCATCACCATTGGGGGCAAGATCGTGGGGTCTCTGTGCGCCATCGCGGGGGTGCTGACCATCGCCCTCCCTGTGCCCGTCATCGTCTCCAATTTCAACTATTTCTACCACCGGGAGACGGAAGGTGAGGAACAAGCCCAGTACATGCACGTCGGGAGCTGCCAGCACCTCTCGTCCAGCGAGGAGATGAAGAAGGCTCGCAGCAATTCCACCCTCAGCAAGTCCGAGTACATGGTGATTGAGGAAGGGGGGATCAATCACAGTGCATTCAAACAGGCTGCCTTTAAAGCAAGCAACTGCACAACCACAAACAATCCCAACTGTGTGAACATCAAAAAGATCTTTACGGATGTTTAAAACAAACCCAAACCAAACGAACAGCAACAAAATCCGAGGATGCGGTAAAACAATACCAATAACAATACCAATAATAATGCAAAGTGACTGTGTGTCGGTGTTGTGTGGAACATGCACCATCGTCGGTCCTGTGTGTGCCCTCGTTTTTATACCTTTATTTTTTTAGATCCTTCCTTTCTAAAGATCCAAAAGTAAAAGGATTTAAAATTCTCTGAAGAAGAGGACAGCTAAAGGGTAAAGAGAAGGAAGATGAAGACAAACCACACTCACTGTCAAAACAGGTGTTTGTTCTGCAACGTGTTGCAGGGCTGCTTTGCTTTTCGGGCTTTTGGGGAACCTCTTGCTTTGCTCCTGAATTTCCCCCTCTTTTCCTAAGGGCAGTGTGTAGCCAATCTCCCTTCCATCACATAAAATTGTTGGATTACAAACTCGGACTGGGTGGAGGAACGAGGAAAACGTGAGGCAGAGTGTACTGGGAGGGGGCTGGGAGGAAATAACCATTTAATTCTGCAGAGAGTCTCTGTTACCACATCGTTAAATGATGCTTAATATTGAAACATGTGATGTGCCATTACGGGCACATCCCAGCTTCCCTTTTTCTCCCCATTAGATCATTTATGAAATTCTGATCTGGTCAGAGACCGAGTGCAATCAATGCTGATTTATATAGAAAAAAAGCCTCCCTAAGCCTTCGTTTTCTATTCTGGATTCCCTTCCCCTGTAACCTGATGGAATTATTTCCTCCAATGTCAAGTCTGTGGCCGTGCAGCAGGGATGTGTGCGGTAGGAGGGAGAGGAGAGGCAGACTGGAATGTTTTCGGGAGCCGCCGGCGCAGGGAGCGATGTCGGCTCGGAGCAGGATCCACGCCGGGCTCCTCGCTGTGGCTGGGAGCCTCCAACCCGCCCAGCCGGAGACAAAGGGATATTTCCTCCTCGTTTTGCAATGCCTTTGGAGGAGATGCAGCCGCTTATCACCAGAAGATTAAAGTGGCGAACACGCCTTCCAGCGGAAGTCACTAATTCCGACCGGAGTGATGCAGTTGCCATGGTGACCATGGTTTCCTGGGAAACCCCCAAAGGTTGTCATGGCATCCCTTCTCTCTCCCATCCCCCTTGGTCCTTGCTCATCCTGTAAAAAGCCTTTCCAGATGGTTCCAGCTCCTCCATCCCACAAGACATCGTGGCTCTGCAACCCCTTCCTGGTTCCTGTCCCGCTGCTCCTCCCATGTGCCCAACAAAGCATCCACAGGCAATAAGCACCCCCAGATCCACCTGTCCCTCACCTTGGCAGTGAAATCTTGGGATGGAGGTTCATCCTGCTCCACTGAGAACGACCCCAAACCCAGTGGGAACTGGCACCGAGCAGCTGCCGGAAAGCTTGGCCAGGGAACCTTGGCAGCTGTGTGAAATAAGGGGGACAGTAAAAAATCAGGATTGAAAAATAATCAAAAATCCAGCTGGGAAAAGTCACCGGCTTCATCTTCACGTGTATGCCAGGGGCCACAGGACATCTGACAGGATCAGGTGAGCTCTGCACGGGGGAGACTTCAATGGAGTCATAGTGTTGGTTTTTTTTAGACAAACCCCATGCCTTCCACTGCTTACTTTTATTCTCCAGCTTATCCTGTCACTCTTGGGTATTTTTATACATGTTAGATAAAGTGGGATCACATCCTAGAGCTCCTCTGATTGTATTTGCTTTTTCGTGCTGTGGGAGGAGGAAAACCCTGCTGCTTCTCTGCAGCTGGATTGCTTCACTTCTGTGCTAAAAAGGTGATTTCAGTGGTTTAGTGCTCCCATCCAGACCCTGCCACTGACACAGGCCAAAAGCAGCTTGGCCTCAAGAGCCTTGGCTCCAGCTCTGCTCAGTTTTGCAGGATTTTGGGTTAAAAAAGCCAAATTCCTCCGAGGTAGCACATGGAACAGGCATGCTGTTAAATACCTACAGCAAAGAGAAATTTGGCCCTGACTTGTGCAAGTCACACCTTTCCCAAGGCTGTGGAGAGGGGGCCTTGTCCTGAGAGAGGCTGGCCATGCCAAAATTGCAGTTTAGCTGGGATTTTTCCCAGACTCAGAAGGATCTAGATGGTTTGCAGCACCCTCCCTTAGCCACAGTCAATAAACCCAAGAAAAACATCAGAGCCCCTCCTTGGCTGCTGGGGTGTGATGGTTTTATTGGAGCTACCAGACTTTTCATCAGCTGAGGGTGCAAGAGATGATCTTTATTAGGGGGATGCTCTGGAAGATCATGGGAAGTTACAAACCTGAGATCCCTTGTCCAGGATAACTGGGATTCCTTGTCTGGGGTAACTGGGAACACCTCAGTGTGCCTTTTGCCCTGGCTGCCAGTTGGCTGAAATGTCATTTCTGCCTACAAGCTCTCACTTTTTACTGTTATTCTCTTTTATTGTTATTAAATTTTATAGTTATTAAAGCTTTCCCACATGCCTATTCCTAAAAGGAGGGTCTGAGTTTAAGAGCAGTGGAAACATGGCACTCTGGAGAGTTTGCAGATGAGTTCTGGGTTGGTGATTTCCCCGTGGCAGCTGCACAGGATAGGGAAGCCACATGTTCTTGAAATGGCACAGAACAATTTTCAGTTTCTCTATCTTCTAAAATAAGCAGAGACCTTGCAGGCTGTTGGTTTGTTTTCCTGACTCCTCCCTGACTGATTTTGTAGGAGCAGAGTAGTTTCAAAGGGATTTTATTGACAGTAAAAAATGCTTTATGGGAGAGGTGACAAGGAAACCTCTTCACCCACTGGGGTAAAAGGCAGTTTGGCTCTGGTAAAATTCCAGAATGGTTTGGGTGGGAAGAGACCTTAAGGATCATCCAATCCCACCCCTGCCATGGGCAGGGACACCTTCCACTATCCCAGGTTGCTCCAAGCTCTGTCCAACCTGGCCTTGGACCCTTCCAGGGATGGGCCAGCCACAGCTGCTCTGGGCAAAAAAGATCTAACCTAAACTTCCCCTTTTTCATGTTCAGAAAAATACTTTTCAGTACAGAGCGGTATCACTGAAAGACAGCAATTCTCTGCTGATGTCTTTTAGATACACCCCCAAAAGTGGAAGTGGAAAACTGGGAATATCCTTTGGATCTTCTGTCCTCTCTGCATCCTCCTCTCTGCTGTCTCATGGGTGCCATTCAGTGAGAGAAACGGAGCCACCTGGGCCACCTGCTCTAGTGGAAGGTGTCCCATGGCAGGGAGCTGGAACTGGATGATCTTTAAGATCCGTTCCAACCCAAACCATTCAGTGACTCTGATAAATGCCTTCTGTTCCGTGGTCTGACAGCTCCTCTGGCACTGGCTGCTGCACATGTTGTGCCAGGAATTGGAGAGATCCCTGAAACCCTGGGCTCTCCACAGCCAGCTGTTGTTTAAGTGGCTCTGCTCTCCTCCTGTGTGCTCCATTAGGACAAGGCAGAGTTTCAGCAGCCACTGGGGAGTTCCAGAGGAGCCTGGGCTGTGCTGGGCTGGCCTGTCCCTAATGTGCTTAAAGGGGCAGCATTAGGGGATTAGCATCAGTGTGAGGCAAAGGGCTCGCCCAGACCCGGCTGATTACATTAAATGGAGGAAAGGGCATTACCACGGGCTCTGGCTGATGCTTCCCAGCACCCCAAGAGCAGGGGAGTGGGTGCCTGCAGCTCTGGGCAATCCCTGCTCTCCAGCAATATCCTCCCCACCCCTGTCCTTTGTGCCTGTCACCTGAGAGACACAGTGACACTGAAGGATGGGAGTGAGGATGGAAGAGGCAGCTCCCACCCCTGGGAGGCTGGAGCTGCCCCGTGGGTGCCTTCAGTTTATCACAGAGTCAAAGAAAGGTTGGGGTTGAAAACAACCCTAAAGAACATCTTGTTCCAACCCCCACACAGGGCACTGGGTGCTGTAGAGCCTTGTACCTCCTGTTTTCTCTTTTCACAGATTGCTGTCAGTCTCCCTTTCCCTCTGCCTGTATTTTAGGACCTGCTCCCCTGTTTCAGCCCTGGATGCCTCCTTGAGACACATCCTTGGTGCTGGGGGGTGCAGCAGCGGCAACCCTGGCCCCTCCACTTGGTGCTTTGACACCATCACCTTTTTCTCCTGCTTCTTTGCCCTTTTTATTTTTTTTTTTTTTTTTTTTTTTTTTTTTTTTTTTTTTGGTGTAGTAGGGTCATTTTATCCGATCTCTGGGCAGGCTGCAAAGCTGGGAGTGCAAACAGTAAAAGATGCAGTCATTCAGTGCCTCAAATAGGGTTTAACTGTGCCTTATTTTGCCCTTTAGCCTCAGTTCTGTGTGTACCTGCAAGGAGAGCTCAGTGCCCCGGCATCCCCCCTGCAAGGGCAGTCATATGGGAGCAGGGAAAGAAGGGATTTCAGGATATTATATGATCTTTGTTATAGATTACCTTTAAGGTCCTTTCCAACCCAGAGCATTTGTTGATTCGATGGTTACAGGGTGCTGTAGGCAGGGCCATATCCTTGGAATTCTCACTCCTCCGGAGCTGGTGCTGCTCCCCTGCACCCCCCTGCTCTGGGTCCCACCCACAGCACGGCTGGGCCCTTGGCTGGGCTTTGGGGGTGTTGTTCAGCTGGAGGATGTGTTAAGGGTGGGATGGTGATGCCTTTCCCCGTTTCCCTGGGTGCTGTTTGCATGGCTGAGTCCAGGCAATCCCGATGGGAGCAGGGTGGCATCGGCCCTCTCCCCGTGCCAGGGGTGGGAGGTGGGCATCGAGCATGGAGGGATGGAGCTCTGTGCTTTGTCTTGGAAAGTCCTGGGGCAGTGGCCATCACCACTTTGAGGAGGACACTTGGGGGATATTTTGGGTGCCCTGAGGTGCCTCGTCCCAGCTGGGAATCACTTGTCCAGCAGTGGAGGGTGTTTGACCCATTTCAGGGGATGGTGACTGGGGGTTTCTTAGGTCAGAAATGAGACTGGCACGAGGAGCAGGGTCCAGTCCCAGCTGTGCCTTAGGGCAGAGCCATCCCCTGGCAGGGACGCCGCAGGGCCAGGGGATCC